CCAGCCCCCACCCGTTCCCCGGTCTGCCGGCCTTTATTGATGCCGGCCTACCGAGAGAGCCGTAACGAGGCTCAGGCCTCCCCCAGTCTCCGGAGGCCTCATTATCCAGGAGGAAAAAAGTGCGGTAGAAACAGGGAGGAGGGCGAAGGGCAGAGATTGATGGTTTCCAGGAATACGGCAGAAAGGCTGGCCTCCGCTGCACACTTGCCCCTTGTGTGGGGATAGCTGCAGAAACAGAGCTGCTGGTGCGGGCGTCGCCAGGTCCAGGCAGGCCCTGGACAGCTCTGCCTCCTGCAGGTCTGCCTCCCAGGGCCAGGGCCAGGTAGATGGTCGGGGACAAGACTGTTCCCACCCCACTCCTGTCACCTTTGTCCCAGGGTAAGAAACTGAGAGGCAAGAACTGATTATTCATGGACACCTACTGTGCATCAGGCATTGGATCAGGCATTTTCCATCTTTAATTTGCACCCCCACCCCTACCACACACACACATGTGCACACACATAGCCCTTTGAGATGGGTATTAGTCTCTGTTTTTCCAGTGGAGGAAATGGAGTCTAAGAGATGGGAGCCTCATGCGTAAGAAGAACAGAAGGGGGACCCAAGTCAGTTTAATGCTGCAGCTTGCTCCAGCTACCCATGCAGCCTCTCTTGAATGGACAATAATAATAAAGGCAAAATGTTTACTGACTGCTTAACCAGGGATGTGCTGGTAAATGGTTAGCAACTGGCTCTCCCCAAAAAACGAACTCATTTGCACCGTTTGCCACTTACTGTGGTGTAAATATTCCCACCATGGCAGATGTCAAGTTTGGCAAGTCGCTGTCACTGTACAAAGTTAGGAAGAGAGAAACACTATTGTCTCTTGTGAGCCCATGCAAGCTGGCTGCAGCCCACCACTGGTGCTCAGTACATTATGTGCTCTCTTTATACCTACTGGCACATATGGAGGGAGTGATGACTACTTGGATGAGTGCAGTATCACCACTGACATGTGTTATGATTAGTACACCACAACAGTGACCTTGTGAAGGCAGGGCCATGATCATCTTATTTACCATGGAACACCCCACTCCCCACAGCACCTAGCACACAGTAGACACTCACTAAATATTTATGGTTGGTGAGTGAGGTGACCAAGGCTCTAGTTCAAGCCCAGGCACTTTCTTGCTGCATGTCCTTGGACAAATCCTATCACTTTTTAGGCCACAGTTTCCCCATCTGTGAAATGAGAGATAGGCTGAGGTCAAAGAGCCACAAACTCAAACATCTACAGGAACCAGGCAGGCAGGCTGAGTGGGTAAAGCAGGACGAACACATCATTTTTTTATGTTTAATACCTATGTATATTTTTCATAGTAGTAGTATTTGCTATAAATATTTCAGTAAGACTTAGAGAAAATATAACAAACGCTCATGTACATAGTACCCAACTTAACAAATAACACTTTTCAAATGCAGTTGAGGTTCTTTACTTCTAATTGAGCATTAACTTGCATGGCCATCTTAAGCCTAAGGGTTGGTAAATGTTTATGTTTATGTCCACTCATGAAACCAGTACCCAAGTTGAGGTGGGGACATTTCCAGCTCCCCAGAGTCCTCCCTCTGCATACTAGCCAGGCAGTGCCTCTACCACCAAGGTAATCTCTATTGGTTTCGTTTATTTATTTATTTATTTAGAAATTGATATGTAATTGACATAGAAGATTATATAAGTTTCTGGTGTACTAAAATATCTTAGTTTTACTTTCATTAAGAACAAAACACTGTACGCCTTTATTTTTTTCAAGTACTCCCTTATGGAAGCCCCCCTCCCAGTACCCACACACATGCACTTTAAAAGTGATGGGGATACAGAGAAATCTTCTTCCAACCTAATAAAAGAGACAATACTATACAAACTCAAGGATAGATCGAAATGCCCCTTGGGTTGAACACTGGAGAGACTGCAGGGAATGGTGGGGACTGTGGTGAATTGAGGATAACAGGCTGCTTGGTGGCCAGATTTTCTATTTTTTCTTGAATACAAGAAATCTGGAGTCTTTAAAATATGAAATCTCTCATTTTTTTTTTTAATATTGGCAACTAATTTTGACTTCTGTTAAGGCCTTCATGTGCCAAACCAAACATTTCTGTGGGTTGTGTAGCCTGGAAGCTGTTGGCTCATAACCTTTGAATGAGATAGACTCCTCTGGCCCCGGGCATCTAGAATTCAGGGCTCAGGCTCTCTCCCTCCAGCTCCTCAGGAACTCCTCCTGTCTGCCCAGCATTTCCTCTTGCTCAGGGGTGCTGGGAGGGTTTCCCAATAGAAAATGCTGCTCACAACCTCAGAGGCTTATATTTCCTCTAGGTAGGTGGGACCTTGGGTTTTATAATGGCTTCTGAAAAAAAAGGGTGGAAGGAGGAAAGAGGAAAAGAGGAAGAAAGGGAAAGAGGGAAGGAATTAAGGAAAGAAAGCATAAATCACCATTTATTGAATACCTCTGATATGTAGGCTCTGCTTGTTAGGGAATTCCATATATTCCTGACCGTCATCACCTATGCGTATGATTTGGGGCAGGGTGTTTAACTTCTCTGTGCTTCAGTTTCCTCTTGTATAAACCAGAGTCAAGATTAGTACCTATCTCATAATTAGTTTAAGAATTAAATAGAGGAAAGTTCTGAGCACAGGGCTTGGACCATAATATTTGCTTAATAGAGAGTTTTGTATTGATAAGGATATGGGTAATGGTGCTGGGGTTGGTGATGATTAAGATGATGATAGTGGTGGTGGTGGAGGTGAAGATGGAAGGGTTGGTGGTGATGATGATGGTGGTAGTGCCGGTGTTGTTGCCGATGATGATGGTGGCAGTGATAGTGGTGGTGGCGTTGATGCTGGTGGTCACTGAAGCTAGGAAGACAGTGTGTCCTTCCTATGCACCAAGGCACGAAATGAAAGCCGCCATACAAAGCCTGGTCTGAAAGGACTCTGACGGGACCAGATGTCTCCCCAGCATCAAGAGGAACAAGGCTGACATTTGAGGGGCCCCATTGGGATCTCCCAACTTGTGGTGTAAACAGCCTAGCCTTTCCTTCATCTCCTGCTGCTTGTCCCCTTTCCCAGTTCTCCTCACATACAGAGGGGCCCTGTAGTGAGACAGGTGGGGCGTGCAGCCCTGAGAAATAGTGGAAAATCCAAAACACCTTGGAAAGATAAATAGGCTCATGCAGATAGTATAAAAGTCCTTTTTCTGAACTCACGTCAGGTAAACCTCAACTGACAGAAACGTGTACAACCACACCAGGACACTCCTACAGAGAGATTAAATTAGCTCCCAAATAAATAGGGGGAGGGATGGGCATCAAGTCCCTAGTGGATCCTAACCCTGCTGTTTCTACTGCTTGAACCGTTACCAAGTGTCCCTCCAACGTCCCTGAATTTTGGCTGAGAACAGACTCCCAGACCTAGATGAAAGGCTGGTTCAGGTTTCCCAGAGAATGAAAGCAGGTGATTCTCTCTACTTCTAGCCCCATGGCTGGGAAGCAGGGGGCAAGAAAGTAGCTGAGCTGGAAGGGAGGAACACTGGGGCCACTCACATTCCTTCATCTGGCCAACACGTGTGTGTTCGCTGTGCTCCATGTCTGGTCCCGGGGAGAGACTGAGATGTCTAAAACCCAGCTCTCCCCTTAAGAACCTTAAGTAATCGATCCTAGGTTAACCATGTCCATATTATTTATCTCAGTGTGTCATCACAACAAGCCTATGCCATTTTCACTACCCATTTGACAGATGGGAGAACCAAGTCTCAGAGTGGAAATGTACAGAGCAATTTTAAGTCAGAATTGCAACCACCCCTGTCATACCTCAGCACCCAAGGTCTTTCCCATATATTGCCTTGTGTATATCTATTGGGAGAAAAGGCAGTAGGGAGCTAGATAGTAGATTTCCTATTTCAAGATTGGTTGGCCAATTTTCAAGGTAGGTTGTTTGTCCAAGATCTTTAATTTAGTCTACACTAAACTGATTCTCTAAACTGGACACTGTGCTAGGTAGGCATAAGGAAGACAAGAAAATATAGACCCTTGTTAAAATCATCTCTATCTTGAGATGGATCCATTCGTTCATTTATAACATAAATATTTACCGGGCTTCCTCCATGTGCCAGGCACCATTCTAGGAATGGAAGATCCAAGGGTGAACCAGAGATGCTGTGGGGCAGAGAAGAGAGACGCCCAACCCAGTCTTAGCAAGATCTCAGAGTCATGTCATCTTTATTCCGAACTCACCAAGAAACCGAATTACTATTTGCGTCCCCTGTAGGTCTGCGCTCAGGGAGAGAATGAGCTGGTCACATCGCTTTTCCATATTCTGGCCCATGTGGCTGCTCATTTCTTAATTAAAGCAAATCAACAGGCCCCCAGCCAGGAGAGCAAGCCCTGATCTTATAGACTTCCGAGGCTGGCCCCTGACACAGTCACTTCTCATTGCAGATCTCAGCATGTGCCTCCAGGTCACTTTTATTTTATTTTTTTACTTTTTAAGAGAAATCATTGTCACCTGGCATGAGAAGTGAAATATCTATGGCAGAACAGAGACGAGAGCTTCTGGGAGGGCTAAGCTAAGTTAGCCCCGTTCCCAATGCTGCTTTCTCTTCTGGTTTTACCTTTCTTTTTTTTACCGACTTTAAAAATTATCACCATGTTGGATGTTATGTTATGAGCTGCCTTAAATCATTTCCGAAACAATTGCCAGGTTTCAAGTTCTGGTTTCCCCCACCCAGCAGCTATGGAGCTTGGGGAATTTTTGTCCTTATGACCTGAGATTAATTCCCTCCTCTGCATGGCTAGAAGTAAAGAGGCTAATGCACAAAGCAGTTAGCACGGCGCATGCACTCAATACAGTTCACTTGTCAGTATCATGACAACAGTTATTATTATTAAAGAAGGCTATAAATAAATACATATATGCACACCTGTAAGCTCTGCCTGGGGGAGGGGGGCTGCAGAGGAAGGAAGTCTGGAGCAGAAACTTCAAAGATAACTAAAGATTCTCCAGGTGAAAAGATGGAGAAAAGCAGTTCAGAGAAGGAGAGCAGCAAGAACAAAGGCTCAGGAGTGGGGTAGGGAAGGGTGGGCAACTCGGGGAAGTGCGAGCCGGCCCATAGGCCATGGCTGCAGGTGGAGTCTGCAAGGGTTCTCTGTCTCCACGTTTCCGAATCGAAGGTTAGTTCACTCATCCTCTGGCTCTCAAACTGCATTTTGGATCAGAACCATCTGGAGGCTGGCTTTTAAAATGTACAGTTCCAGGCCCTGGACCTCAGAGGTTTGGATTCATTAGATCCAAGGAGGCCCCAAAGAATGTGCCTTTTTAATGTGTTCCCACAGCGATCCTGGGAAAGTGGTCCTTCCTCAGTGTTCTCATGCTTCCTGCCCCACCATCGCCCCATCTTCCTGCTGCAGCCACACACGTGCACGCACATGGACACATAAGCACAGGAGGCACACTTACGTGCACACACATGCATGTGCACGTGCGCTTGCTGGCGCTCTCTGTTTCTCTCTCTCTGTCTCTCTCTCCCCACCCCCTTCCTCCTTCCTCCCACCTTACCCTCAACTCTGTCCATGGGTCAAAAATCAGCCACAAATTTTCTAAAGGGCCTTTCTGATCCTGTCTCCATCCCCCAATTCTGCTCCTGTCAGCCCTCATTCCTGCCAGGGAAATACAGAATCAGGACACCTACAGCAAACACCAAGTTGTCTTAATCTTGTGGCTCCTGTTACTGGAAGTAGCTGGGCAAATTCTCCACGTAAATGCTCAGGTGAGGTCAGAACTTGGAAGCTCCAAAGAGAGGTGGGGTGGCTGAATGTGGTGCCCACAAAGAGATGGCTCCCTCCTGGAACCAAACCCATCTGACCCGTCTCCCTCTCTCCGCAGAGAGTTGTCTGCACGGCTGGTCTCAAGTGGTACCCTCACCCTGCCGTGATCCACTGTGTCAAAGGCTGTGAGGTGAGTTCCTAGAAATGATCCTACTGTTATTGTTAGCGTTGTATTAATCACAGCTACCATGTACTGTGCCTCCTAAATGCTGCAAATCCCTTCAACTGACTTCCTGGACTGGAACCAGCAATCCTATTGCACAGCTGGGGGAACTAAGTCACGGAGATACCTACAAACATACTCAAAAATATGTTTAATGGGGAACGGCATCAGGATTCCCAACCAGGTGTTTCTGCCTCCTAGCCCTGTGTTCAGCGTGGCATTGCATTTATGAAAGAGGGAGGGAGGGAGGCCGTATTGATTTGGCATCTGCCAGGATTTACCAACATTTTCACATTTAACCTTCAGAGAACCACACGGGCAGGTTTTTTCAATTCCCACTTCACTGATGAGCATCTTACAGGTTACTTCCTTCTGCCATATGCTTGTCACTCATTCACTCTTCAACCCCAGGAGTAAGGTGGACACCTTAGACCCAGAGGGTCTCTGAGCTGAGAGTGGAAGATGCCCTCTGACCCTTCAACTCTGACTTTGCAGCCATGCCCTGGAACTTGGCATCATAGAGCTTGGTCTCTGTGTATCAGGGACCAGCTTGGGCAGGGGCAGGCTACTGGGGATGTCATCTTTGTTCTCAGGGGGTGCTCCTCATAAAACTAGAAGACCTTTCTGTATGCCCCCATGCCCCTGTGGCTCTCAGCTGGTGGTGAAAAGGAGACCCCAAATCCCATCCAAGGAGACATCCACATCTCTGTGGTCCCCCCAGAGCCAGCTCAGGAAAAGGCAGGTGAAATGGACTAGGCTGTGCTCTAGAAAACTTTGTATTCGATGAAATTCTTAGAATGCCACAACCAGAAATGCTCTTCTAGGGGATCTAAACCTGATCTTTTATTTTAAAGATGGGGAAACTGAGCCCTAGGTGGTGGTTGGTCTGAAATGTGATAGAATGCCAAAACCGGAAGGGTTCTTAGTGTGTCCTGGTCCTGTTCATTGGTTGGAGAGATGACACTGTGGGCCAGAGAGGGGATGGACTGGCCCAAGGTAGCACATGATTCAGGTCTCCTGACTTCCAGGTGGTGCATTTTCTTCTGCAGTAGGTCACCTCCTGCTCATGAAAACCATCCCCTCACCTGGAAATGTCACAAGACAGTCCCTGGGTCACACAGTTTTTTCTACGTATTGGTTAGGGACCTCCTGCAGCATCTTCTCAGGGCACTTGACACTGGAGTCTCTAAGAATCCCCTTGTCCCAAGAGTCGGCCAGGAACAGCAAAAGGCCACAGCCATGTGGTTGTTGCTTCCTCCCATCTCTCTGGATCAGTCGAGCATTTCGGGCAAAGGGAGCTTGGGTTACCTGGGCACTCATTCTGCTGAGTCGGCGGTCTGGGCCACCAGTGTGACAGCAGAATTCGATCCCTCCTTTGACTCAGCACTGGGGCCTAAGAGACCCTCACCTGTCAGGCTCTGAGCCCTGCCAGTGATGCTTATCTCCTTTGCCCTTGCAGGTGCCCCTCGTTTCCTTTCCTCCTCAGCTTAGCACTAATGGTTTTTCTCTTATGTGGGACAGATAAGTATGCTCAGAAGAGATACAAATGCTGGATCTAGGGAGGGGCCATCCACCTGGAGTGTCTAGAGGTAGCCAAGATCCAGAAGGGGTTTGGGACCCCAGCCCCCAGCCCTCTACCCCAAGCTGTGTCCAAAGCGGTCATTCACTCACTCGTTCAGCACAGCGTCACTGACCACCTGTTATGTGCCCGACACCACTCTACATTCTGAGAATGAAGTGATCTTAGCCAAGTGAAAACAGTAGTTATATTCTCCCCAAGTCACCTGTGGAATCTTCTTGCTCTCCATGTATCCATGCCTCATTTATCCATGTATGCATACATCTATCATCTATCATTTTACTAAATAAACACTCAGTGATAAAGTTTTGATCAAATTGCCAGGCATTTTGCTGGGAAATCTAGGATATACGAATGGATGACGCACATTCCTGTCCATAGGAACTCATAAAGGAAATAGTTAAGGAGAGCATCCTAAAATATGTACTGAGGCTATAACCGAACAAGTTCAGGAAACTGTAGAAGCACAGAATGTCTTGGGGGTATTAGGGAAGGCATTTTAGAGGGGCGATGTTTGAACTACATCTTGAAGAATGAATTGCTTACATTGTTAGAAGTAGCAGCATGACAAATACCAAAGACAGGAGAAATCTCTAAGTAGCAGATGTTTTCACATGCCCCTTTCTCTAGAAATTCTCCCTTCCCCACCCCTAGCTAATTAACTCCCGCCCATCTCATGATCTCAGCTCAAATGTCCCTTCCTTGGGGACACCTTCACCGCTCTGCCTCTGCCCACGGGATCTTGGCCGAGTCCCTTTCTTGTTCTGAGTCTCAGAGTTGCCATCTGTAAAGTGGGAATAGCAATGCCTACCTCGCATGTTGTCCTGAGAACAGAAGAAGAAAGCAAACGTGTGAAGCACTTGACATCAAGTGCCCCTGTGCTCCTGGGATAGAGGATGGGAGGTCACAATCATGCGCAGACCACTGTGCGAAATTCCTATGAATTCTAACGCTTGATCTGCACAATTCCTGGGCAGTTCGCATTCCTCTTCCTCTTATATTTGCATATATTTTATTATAAATTATTTTTAATTACCTTCTACCAGGAAAAGTGGGGCAAGGGGACTCAAATTTTCTTATCATTTCTTCAAGTAAAATGAGCCCCCTACTTCAGGAAGATGTAAGTGGTCTGCACATTCCCCAGGATACAGGAGCGTGTCTCCCAGGGTAACAGTACTTTAGCTGGGAAACACTTGGCTAGATAAGACTCTTTCTAAATGTATAAATGTTGACTTGTCCAAGGGGGTGTTGGGATCTGAAGCCAGGTAGAGGTTTGTGAGATGAGAGACAGCTGAATGATTACAGAGACCACCCCCTACTCCCTCCGGGATGCTGACGGTACCTTTCCTTCCTGCCTCTCTCCCCCTATATAGCCCTTCATGGNTTGAACTACATCTTGAAGAATGAATTGCTTACATTGTTAGAAGTAGCAGCATGACAAATACCAAAGACAGGAGAAATCTCTAAGTAGCAGATGTTTTCACATGCCCCTTTCTCTAGAAATTCTCCCTTCCCCACCCCTAGCTAATTAACTCCCGCCCATCTCATGATCTCAGCTCAAATGTCCCTTCCTTGGGGACACCTTCACCGCTCTGCCTCTGCCCACGGGATCTTGGCCGAGTCCCTTTCTTGTTCTGAGTCTCAGAGTTGCCATCTGTAAAGTGGGAATAGCAATGCCTACCTCGCATGTTGTCCTGAGAACAGAAGAAGAAAGCAAACGTGTGAAGCACTTGACATCAAGTGCCCCTGTGCTCCTGGGATAGAGGATGGGAGGTCACAATCATGCGCAGACCACTGTGCGAAATTCCTATGAATTCTAACGCTTGATCTGCACAATTCCTGGGCAGTTCGCATTCCTCTTCCTCTTATATTTGCATATATTTTATTATAAATTATTTTTAATTACCTTCTACCAGGAAAAGTGGGGCAAGGGGACTCAAATTTTCTTATCATTTCTTCAAGTAAAATGAGCCCCCTACTTCAGGAAGATGTAAGTGGTCTGCACATTCCCCAGGATACAGGAGCGTGTCTCCCAGGGTAACAGTACTTTAGCTGGGAAACACTTGGCTAGATAAGACTCTTTCTAAATGTATAAATGTTGACTTGTCCAAGGGGGTGTTGGGATCTGAAGCCAGGTAGAGGTTTGTGAGATGAGAGACAGCTGAATGATTACAGAGACCACCCCCTACTCCCTCCGGGATGCTGACGGTACCTTTCCTTCCTGCCTCTCTCCTCCTATATAGCCCTTCATGGGAGACAATTACTGTGATGCCATCAACAACAGAGCCTTCTGTAACTATGACGGTGGGGACTGCTGCACGTCCACGGTGAAGACCAAAAAGGTAGGCAACGCCCCCTTCCCCCTGCAGCCCTCCCACAGGCCCCTCCAGCTTACCAGGCCAGGATCCCCCTACCTGTTGGACAACACATTGTCCTGGTGTGCCAGCGCTCGCCTGCAAGCTGTATTGCATTATATTGTATTGCATTGTATTGTATTGCATTGTATCGTCTTGTGTTGTATTGNGGTGGGGACTGCTGCACGTCCACGGTGAAGACCAAAAAGGTAGGCAATGCCCCCTTCCCCCTGCAGCCCTCCCACAGGCCCCTCCAGCTTACCAGGCCAGGATCCCCCTACCTGTTGGACAACACATTGTCCTGGTGTGCCAGCGCTCGCCTGCAAGCTGTATTGCATTATATTGTATTGCATTGTATTGTATTGCATTGTATCGTCTTGTGTTGTATTGCATTGTGTCGTGTTGTGTTTTTTATTGTTTTAGTCAGTAGTTGAGCTAATGTCATGTGGGTTTGGAGGCTCATGGAAGATTTTTGCAGATGTGGTCCCTCACCCTCAAAGCTTAGACAAATAAAGGTATAACGCATACTTTCAGAAGGGAAGGAGAGTGCTACGAGGGCTTGGGTGAGAGGTGGGAGAAGGCTCTGCAGAAGGATCGGATTCGATGCCAAACCTGGAGCAATGAGGGGAAGGAGCGGGGGGTAGCCAGGGAAAGGGTTTCAGGGGCATGAGGCTGGCATGTAAAGTTCTGCAGGGAACATGCACTTCTAGGGGTGGTAGCTAAAGTTGAGGGGAAAAGAGAAGACGGGACGTTCCCAACAAGGTCGGTCACCAGGACCGCTGAGCATTTTATAATCTCTTTTGTTCACACCTGTAGAATTAGGGATGTGGTCTTGGTTGTGATTTTCTTCCTTTGTGTATTAGGATGCAACAGGACTGACTCAAGTGTTTATAGTAAAACCGAAACCTTGGACTGAGATGCACAGCAATCACTCACAGAAGGGTGGCCACATCCACTTTCCTCCTGGCCAGAGCTGGGACCAGAGTTGGGGGCCCCAGCCAAGAGCTGGGAGAGTGGTGGTCAGCCTGGGCCACCCAAGTTGAGAAGTAATCTTCTGATGAGTGAGTGCGTGGGAAAGTCTTTCCATTTTTATACTGAGCTGAAAAATCACCTGATCTCAGATATCATTTGATCTAATCGCTCATTTTTAAGGAGAACTGTGTTCCTAAGAAAAAGCGAAGGATCATAGTCAGTCTTGTGATGATCTGGTCAAACTTCTCATTTCACGAAGGGAGACCTGGGGCCCATAAAGGAGGGATAACGATTTGTCCTCAGGGGCAAAGTGAGAGATGGAAACGGAGCAAGTCTCCTGGCTTCCTACGCAAGTCCCATTGCATTCCACATCCTTAGGGGAATTAGGCTCCTTCAGGAAGGATACTCTGACCCCAAAATGCAGCATGGATAGGACAAGGCCCAAGGGACACACTGAAACTGGACAGCACGAGGCTCGACCAACCGAACCACACCCACCAGGCCAGTTCTTTGCTAGTTCTGAACATGCTTAACAGTCCTCTTTCCCATTCACGTTATAAATGTAATTTTGGCTTTTTGTGTGTTGAAAAGACTCCCTTCTTCCACTTGAAACTGTTGTTCCTGTTAGCCAAGGCTGCGGAATGCCGACGGCCGGGCTTCCTTCCTGCAGCGAGATGCGTGATCACAGGGCACGTCCTGGAGCCCAGCACCGGCCCGGCCGTGTGCCCGCGGCAGGCACGGCGCCCCCTTGGCAAGCCCGCGGCCTATGGAGGCCACCAATCGTTAGGCAGTGAGGCATCCAGCATGCACTTAATTACCTTTGCGGAAGAGGCAGTGCGGGAGAGGTGTGGGACCTTATGGACAGTGCGAAAGTCAGCAGGTTTCCCCGAGGAAGTGACGTTTGTTTTGAGGCCTGAGCCATGAGCAGGAGTTTTCCAGGAGCCAGGAGCAGCGGCTGGGGCGGGCGGACAGAGCCTCAGGACCGTGTGCTCTGGGTAGGTTAGGGCCGGAGCCCTCTCCTACGGTGCCCGGGGCTTGGCCTTAGTCATTAGCTGTGAAGAGTTTTGGGGGCTTTCTTCAGCTGTGAGATTCCTGGAAGTCTTTCTTCTGGAGGACAGAGGTGTCCCAAATTACAGGCATTCTTCCTGTCACAGTCTAACCTCTACATGAGTCCAACTTCTTGAAATCTTTCCACTTTCTCTTGTAAACACCCAACTACTCCCTGCAATAGGCTGCTTTATAGAGATAATAGGTGGAGAAAGTATATAAGAATCTAAAGTACCTCTAAGTGAGCTGCCGTATATGCCAGACACGGCCAGACACTTGTCCTCCGTTGTCTTCTTTAATCCCCATTTCAACCCGCCGGGTTGCCATTAGCCCGTCGCACAGGTGAGCCAGTGCTGGCTCAGAGCGCCTGCGGGACTTGCCTGAGTGCACTTGGCCTCGAGTGCCAAGGCTCGCGTTCAGACCCAGTTCTGTCTGACTCAGAAGCTCAGCTCTTTCTCCTGCACGGGCTGAGTCTCCAAAGAGGAAAGCAGGTGTCCTCAGAGCACCCGGGCATGACCGTCTCAGTTCCGGTTGGAGACAGTTCACTGTCAACCAGACCACCAAGGAGCCTTGGGTGTGGGACCCCTCCCCTCGGCAAAGGCAAAAGCAGCTTTTCCCAGCAGCAGAGACGGGGCTGGGAGTAACCGAGGCTCCCAGCCTGCCAGTCATCCCTGACATCCCAGACAGGAGTTTCCCCAAGTGGAAAAATGTCCTGGTTCTGTCTCCAGTTTCCACAGCAGGGTGCCTCTGAGAGTAGGAGAGGGGCCAGATTCCTTCCTCTCATCCCCATGCCTTTACCTACTTGTCCCACCTGGACTCTTGGCCCCAACACATATCATGGGACATTCCCTGACCATGGACACCCAGACTGGCACTCAGAAACTCATGGAGAGGGCAGATTTGCTTCTGTACCTTCCCAAGGACAGTAATTCCATTAATTGAACATACAGATGTGCCTGGCCATGGGTTGGAATCTGTGTGCATATTATCTCACTTAAATATCCAGAACCACCCAACAAGGTAGAGAGCTGAGGCTCAGAGAGGTGGAATCATCTGTACGAGGTGACAGAGCTGTGTTAGGATTTAGCTTTTCCTGGCACCAGCAAATAATGTAGCTGCTATTTATCGAGAGCATGCTATTTGCCAAGCATAGTGCTAACTGCTTTTACATGTGTCATTTCATTCACAGTAGCCCTCTTGTAGGTATTGCCTTTGTATCCCCATTTTATAGACGATGCAACTGAGGCTTAGAAGGGTTGAGGTCACGCGGCCAGGGAGTGGTAGAGCTGAGATGCAAACCCAGTGGCTCCTAACCCTGCAGCACCTGCTTCTCTCTAAGCCCTGCTCTGGACATCTCCTTGCTGTAGGCTTGCATCTGGCCCTCCCCCAGTGGGTGGGCTTCTTGCTTCCCAGTCCTCCTGGACTGCAGTCCTGGGTGTGAACTGCGGGCCCAGGGTTAAGCGCTCCGCACCTTCTCCCAGACTCCCTTCTTGCCAGCTCTCCACCTAAACTCTTCCCCGTCCCCAGGCCTGGGGCCTCCCAGTCACTTGGCCCAGAAGGATGTCTGTCTGCTCCCTCCATCCTTCCTCCCCTTGTTTGTCTCTGCAGACACCAGCTGTTTCCCACATCTGCCTTGTGTGACCTGGGCCCGGCTAATAGACAAGAGCAAGACAGTGCAGGAAACTCGGTCTGACGGGTGACCAGTGTCTCACCCAGACACCTGTCTGCAGCGCGAGGCAGACAGGAAGGGGCGGGCCGCAGCTTCTCAGCGAAGGTTGATTGTTTTCCTGGTGGGGCTTTGAGGAGCCTCCAACACAGAACACATTTCCAGAGCGGTTGCTTCCACAGTTTTCCCCCATAATAACCACAACAAAAAGCACTCCTTCTAATCGCACCGTTCTGAGTAAGCATGCGCTGGGCTGGAACGGAGGAGGGCAATCACCTAAACACGGTCAGCAGACCCAGGCTCCCTAATGGGCCCACGGTCACGGTCATGTTGCAGGCAGCTGCGAGAGACGCCCCTGGAAGGCGTCTGGGAAGGGGGGGTGCAGTCCCAGCTCCGAGACTTAGCTCTGTGACCTTGGGCAGGCCAGGCTCACCTAGCTTTTTATTTCTTGATATTTGGATTCACTTCATGTCTCGGGACTCTCTACGTGGCCACTGAGCGAGAACTTGAAGGTGACTAGAGAGTAAGAAGTTGTCAAACCTAGAAACATATCCTCGCAGAGGGCACGCCTCACCGATGACATTAAGTGTAGGCTGCCAGACTGACTTACTAAATCTAAGTGAAGACAAAGTGTTATACCCAGAGGTAGCCATTGGTCTAAGGAGGCCAGTGATTCTATAAGCTGTGGGAAGATCATCATGATCATGAGATGGAAAACAACCTTCTCAGCAGAGTGTCCAAGATAAAGGGTTGGACATTGGGTGTCAGAGTTAGGGATGTATATCAGTGGCTTTTACATCTTGATTTAGCGACTAGAATGACCCCCTTCTCCATCACACCTCTGTGCCAAGCCCTGCAGTGTCTCCCCATTTTAATCAGAGTAAAACCAGTTCTCCCAATGGCCTTTAAGGCACCACATGCACTGCCTACCCCATTCTCTCTCTGACCTCACCCCCCACCATCGGTGCCCCCTTCACTTGATCCCAGCCCTCTGGACTCCTTGCACAGGACAGGCATCCTCCTGCCTCACAGCTGTTGTCACTGGCTGTTCCTGTGGCTGAGAACCTTCTCCATTCATCCTTACGACTCCCTCCTTCCCTCACCTCCTCCAGGTCTTCGCCCAAGTGCCATGCTCTCAGCGAGCCCACCCTGACCACCCACCTTATATCACCCTGGCATTCCCAGGCCCACTTGCCTTGGCTTCCACTTCTTTTCCCTCCCACAACACTTACTACTTTGGCACATACTATAAAGTATATGTATTGTTTATTGTCTGGCAACCCCTACCCTCCTTGCTGCTGGG